AGATAAGCGTAATGTTAACAGCCTAACCTGAAGCCCTGAAGCTGTAACTCTGTTTGATGAGATCCTTAGGCAGGCACCATTTCACGTGAACAAAGGAAAACTTAATGGTTTCAATCAGATCGAGGGTAGGATATGTTTTTTGCATTATATTTAACTTCATTACAGCAGGTATTTCAGTAATTCTGAAAGAGTCTACAGAATGAATTAGTCTGCTCTTCATTACACAACAGAAAGGAACATCTTTTTATCCTGTACAGAACTGATTCTGGTCCTTAAGGCAACTGGATTTTCTTCCGTTTACTCAAAAACTGTAGGACAGACAATAATACAGTTTTTAATCTTCCTGCACATCTTGGAAACAATTTTTAAATGATTTTCTGCCAATCCTCTTCTACTGAGACCTTTCACATGGTTCACAGCTAATATAATCCTACATTTTAAAGAGGATGGATTACAGAGAATTATCCTCCTGGTCATATTACAAGTGGTGAAAGGAACCTTTTTATTTTCTCAGATACAGTTTTATTTCAGAGCAGCAGCCTGGAAATAACTGTTCCCTTATGGTCAGATTGTGCATTTGCTCACACCACTACTTGAGTAACTAAGAGGAAGAGACACCTTGAAGGCATAATTTTCCCTGTTTCCCTTCACTTCAGAAGCAGTGAAAACTTTTTTTTTTTTTTCATAAAACAGCATTGATGCCATCATATAGTTCACTTTCTCCTGCTGTCTATCCTGTCTTTTTTGACTGTAAGTTGATTCGGCCTGACACTATAGTATGCTGTGTTTATACAGAGATTGGGTACAGCGGGACTCCATTTTTAGCTGCCCCTATTTTAACTTTGTTAATAACAAAAATAAATAGCAGTAATTTCCTATTCCTGCCCCCCTCTGTCTCCCTCTTATACATCAAAAGTAAGGGAGAGAGTCAGAGCTTCATTATTTCTTCATTTGTTCTTCCTACTTCTCTAATCCAGACTCTTGGCATGAAGGAGAGGAATAAAGATGTCAAATAGTTCCTCTCTTTCTTACACCCAAATCATGTTGAGGTAACTCACATGCAGGTATAAGTGTGTATTTTGCTGCTCTGTGGAAACGTGTACTGTAAAGCACAATCTAATCTTTGGTACCTTGTTCCATTTGCTGGCAAGAAACAGTCTCTCAATGTCAAGACAATTATTAAATATTTAGCTCAAGCGGTGGCCAAAGTAAATTTGGCCAAAAGGCAAAATGCACTGTTTATGTGCAGTAGAAGTACTTGGTGAGAAAGATTTCTGGAGAAAGTTGCACAAATGCCTCCTTCCAATTTCTGGCCAAAAGGCAAGAATGGCCTTCATGCTCTTGTTTTCATGGAACAGAGAGAGGATTATTGTACCGATACGTACAGCCCTCTGCTTTTCTTTTGTTTAGAAAGATGTGTTACAGTATTTACCTTTGACAACTATTTATTGTTTTGTCCTGCTTTCCTGACTGATTGCAAACACAGATGTTTCAGTGAAAATGGTAACGCTGGCGTATTACTGTCAACATTCTGGTTTCTTCAGTCAAGGAAGGCAGAAAACACATCTTTGCTGAACTTCATATAATAATAAAAATAACAATGAACTCAGCCTTCAAGCCACATGAACAACGTTTTTTGACAGTGTGAATTATTTCAAGAAGCTGTTCCAAAGGTTACATAAGCTTAGTAGTCTAACCCATTTCACCATGAACCTATATATCCTAACCATGGGCAAAGGCCCCAGCTGTCTAGTAAGAAATAATAGATTTTTGCATTAAGAGACACAGGGTATTACGCAACTAATACAGGATATTGCCTAATTTCTATAAAAGCAGTTACGGTATCAAAGGTGAAGAGGCTAAGGAAGTAACTGAAGAGCACTCTTCCAAACTTTGAAAAATAACACTCTTTTTTAAAGTCATCCTTTACAAAGAAAGATCATTACACCGATAATCTGAAGCTGTTCCACAACTATTTGGTCCAATGTAATAAAATAAAGCCTTACAGTCTTCAGTCCTAAAAAACCAGATTGCTGCTCCAGTCAATAAATAGTCTCAGCTAGTCATCTCAGATAGGTCTCTTCAAACTCAAAGTTGGTTTCTGTAGAACTGCTTGGGTTTTATAATAGTGTAACGGAGTACAAGATCTGGGCCTAGTTTGTTGTGTTGTTAATGTACCCACTTAAAACAAGCACTTATGTTTTCACACTACTGCTTATCCCCTTGACTTGACTTCCTCCCACGAAGAGAGGAGAATTTAAAATCCTTATCATTTGCTTTGTAAATCGCTTCTAGTTTCCTAGGAAAACTTCCTACTAGATTTGCTCCACTAGCAGAAGATCCAAACTTGTGCACTTGGTGCTCAACATATTTCTAGGCATGCATTTCTGCACAAAAAACTGCCGGCTTGTTTTGTATTTAGTACAGGATGAAAGCATAAACTACACCAGACTGCTTGTATATAGCCAAAATAGGCACCCATCGCTGTTTGTGTTCAGTAACTAACAAACCCAGTGAAAATCAAGCCCAATATGTGTTCAGAATATGGTGATTTCCAACAAATGTATAAACCAATGCTAATGTTAAAAGTTACAAAAATAAAATTTCCTGGTCCCTTGATTGTTCTCCACAAAAAAAAATTAGATGGGGCAATCCCTGGAATGGAAACAGAAAATCTTCCATTCTGGAGTCTCAGGTCTACTACTTCCTAAACATTTATAGTGGTCACAATCACCTGTTTTATTATTGCTCAAGTATAATATTTGATTTGGACAATTTGAGATTTAATATAGCAGCTCTTTGTGCATATAGCAGAGGGAAATGCAGCTCATCTGTCAAACAAACTGCCCTGTGCTTTCTTGCAACATGGGGCTGAAGATGATGAACTTCATGGATGAAGATGATGATTGGATCAGCCAATGCACCTGTGTGCAACTGACCTTGGATACGACAAGCTATGCTGTCATTTTCTGCCAGAATTCATCTGCGTAAGGATCTGTTTGCAAAATTAAACATCCACACTGTACTTAAAGTGTATTATGTGTCAATTTTTTTCTGCTACAGAATTTTTGCATCAGTAGTTATTTCTTGGAGATCACAGTCTAGCTGAAAGCTGCTTAGATGCAAGAGACAGGATAACACCGGATTGCTCACCTCCAGGTGATGTTCTTCAACTGTGCCAGAATCCTGTTTGTGCAGCTGCCGTGCTGCTTTTAAAGTAGTTGAAGAATGAAATCCCTTCATGACTGATTAAGTTTGTTGTTTTGCATCTCTGGGTCAAGTATATTTTTCTCTGGACTGATTTGGAGTAGAGAATTCTGGGGCTTCTGCAGATTGTCAACAGACTGTTCCCACATACCAAGATTATTTGCAAAGTGATCCTTAATAAACAAGGAGACAGGAGAACCTGATAGACTCCCAAGTACAGTTCTCGACATAGTTCAGGTCAATATTTCTTGATCACCACATGCTAAATCAGCCTTGAGGAAAAGCACTAAGCAGAGCTGTTTGTTTCATAATGAACAAGCTGCTTCCTGCCTCAGGGAAACACTGCAGTATCCTGTAGGTCTTACTGCCCGTATAAATCATGTTCTTGTGATTCCTCTGCTTTCCCTTTGGTTGGTGAGCCTTCCCCATTCAAGTAATTCTCCTGCATTTCCAGGATCTGCCTGAACTCAACCTGCAAAGAGGATCTATGTGTAGATGTGGCACTTAGGGACATGGTTTAGCAGTGGACTTGGCAGTGTTAGGTTTACGGTTGGACTCAATGTTCTTAAAGGTCTTTTCCAACCCAAATGATTCTATGATTCTATGATCTGCCTCAACTCAACCTGCAAAGCCCCTATGAGTGACTTTATGTATGGGGTTTTTTGATGAACCAGTGCAAAATAGCAAACAACAGAGACCAAAATCTGACCCACAACTCTTAAAAGAAGTACCTGAACAACCCTCAGAATTAGATTGACAGTGTAAGTCCACAAGCTTTTTACGCTTAGCTCTGCAGTAGTTGCTCTAATACTTTTTGTATCCTTTTCCATAAAGGGGTTCTATTCCAGTAATCTGGCACTCATGAATGTAGTGCTACAATAACAAATTTCCTAGCACTGAACAAGACAGGGAACAAGGAAACAGAGTTTCAGGCTCGCGAGGGATGATGATAGATTAATAAGGCAAAAATAACTCAAAGAACTCTGAAAAAAGTTTGAGTTTCTCTAAAACCAACAGTGCACAACAAATGAAATAAAAGATGCAAAGTTGAAGTCCCCAAACATTAGGGTTGGTATCCATTAAAACGTAGTCTTGCAGCCCCGGTTCTAAAGGATACTCCAAGCCACTCCTCGACAAGTGTAAGCAATGGGACAGTGAAGTAATATGAAAGCCTGCTGGAGGGCAGGAGAAATGGGTCCCAGCATTTGGGTTTTCTAGGAGTCCAAACTGACACCCCATGAACAGCTGAAGTTTTTCAGACTGCGTTATCACTTCACTTGTGTTTCAAAATTTTGTAATTTGTTGAGATATTACAGAACATACCCAAGAATATCACATAATCTTCAATTTTCAGGTATGTAAAGCTATTTCCTGAACAAATTGCTCTACACTTGCTCCAAACTTACCTACGTTGCTATTATTCACCATGGAAATATTTCCAGTGGCTAGTTCTTCCCATCTATAGCTATTAGTCAAGGTGACATAGGAAGTGTTGAAACGGTAGATCTTGTTAGAACACTAATATTATTAAGACAGAAGTTAATAATTCTGCAGGTTAACTTTATGACCAATTAATCATACAATGTGATGAGTGCTGGAGGCATTCTATTCCAGATGCATATCCTAATTTACCTGCACTAAAGCACACCTCAGCAAGACGCCTTTGTGGTTGAAATATAAAGCAATAAAATGCTGAGCTAAAAGAAACTCTCTTTTGAACTATCAGGAATTCAGGCTATGAAATAAAATCTTTTGCATTTGGCGGGTGTTATGCAATGCAGTGTCACTCTTACCTCCATGGGAAAGGCCTTAAAATTAACCGTGTGTTCAGAACCACGCTGGTTTTCTCTCCCCCAGTGAAATCGAACATCGTGTAGTTCAAACTCATGTCCTCGAGGTAGTGGCCCCCCTATTAACACTGGGAAAGAAGACAAATGGTAAGGAACTTGGCTCTTGAAGCAGACAAGCCACTGAACATATTCTCCAAATACAATGGGGAGATTGTTGCAAGCTTCTTTATTATCAGTGATACTAGAGAGGAGAAGAGTAAAGTTGACAGACGTGACATCTTTACTTTTGAAGTACCGAGCAAGTACAGAACATGAATGCAGGCCGTTACGAACAGCAGTGAAATTGCTGTCAGGCTGCACTCTTCATTTTATAAGGCAGAACAGCTGGTCATAGCACAAAATAAAAACATTGTACCTTTATCAGTCAGAAGAGTGACTATGTTTATTGCTCTTATCAAGACAGTATATGTATGCTCTAAACAGATGGTGGGGGTTCTGAATTGAACTGGTAACTGACTCCAACTTGTTTGAATGCTTAATCTCCATCACCTATATTTGCTATGAGTCACAGAAACGGATAGAAAACTTTTGATTGTCAGTATTTTGCCAGGTAAAGGTGTTCAGTCATATACCACCTGTCAGGCTTCTGAGGTACAGAATGCCTCCATATCCAAATATAATCAAACCTACACAGAGGAGCACCAACATACCTCATTCACTTAAAAACAGCTTCTAGGCAGCCATGGCTTTTTTTTACTTCTGTTTTTTAAACATCTGGAATTTCTTAAAAATTGCAACATACACACAAAAAATTTATATAGTAGCTCAATACTTTTGCATTAATAGACACTTCCACCATAAGTTGTAAAAGCAAGCAATCGTACCTTGTGACGCCCAAACTACTTTGGAATTAATCAATGAAAACATTCTGCCCAGGGATTTCTGAATCTGCTTCAGATCAAATATTACTCCACAAGCTGTAGGTAACTTTCCACTGAAATCATTGAATATTGGCTTCTAGGCAGGGCTGGATTTTACTTAAGGGCATTCACAGTCTTCCCCAGAATCCATTAAATTCTAGCTTACATATCATAGACTTTGAACGAATCTTTTACCATCTCTGATAATTGATAAGCATTATTCAATTGCATAACCTACAGCTTTAGGGAACCAAAGTTCCATAATATAAAGTTATTTTGACACACAAACTAAACGGCCTTAGTTTGGATCACAAGACATAGTGTAATATTAAAACATAATTTAGCAATTGAGTCATATTGCAACTGTACAAACACAAAAACAAAAGTACAGAACTATAAAAAAACCTGAAAGACAACTGATCAGTTATGGTTTTCATAAGCAATTACATTGGAGAAAAAAGTAAAATATTCCAATTAATCCTCCTTTAATAATTCTTCATAACTAATCTAACAGCCATTAGGTTTTCTAAAATGACATGTCCTAAATGTAGTTACAGATTCAGATTTGCTTCTTAAACTTGCTTTATCTATATTCTATCTATACATATACCCTATAGGGAAAAATCTACAAATCTGGTGAACATTGAAGTATTTAGGGAAATCTGGACAAACAGAAAGAAACATGATACTCAATTAGTGCTATTTCTTAGGAAAATGGAGCATTTTCTCTGTTTTAAAATATTGCTCCTAGAGAAAGTGTAACTAGAACAAATGTTCTCTATATGATGTAGTTCTGGATCTCCAGGAGCTTCAAAGAGGCTTCTGAGGCTTAAGTCATAACATTGATCCCATGATAAAAGTACTTCAATGCATGGAGCATGTTAATCTTTCCTTTGCCTTTCATCAAATCTTGATCCTTGTCAATGCATGAAACATGTTTAACTTTGCTTTGCCTTTCAGCAATTTTTGATCCCCATTAGAAAATTATTCGGAAAACATGATTCACTGTGCAATCCACTTCTGGCTTAAGACAAGTCCCTCTGTTAGTAGGATAACCTCTAAAGCATTTTTCAATATACAATTCCATTACACAGTTGGTCATGCTTCTTCCACCTAATGCATAACACATGTACGACGATCAAACTGGAAGCAGCCTGTGAAAATGTTTGCAATTAAATAATGAGAAGGATTTGGGAATTCCAGATGCACTGCATGTCCTGAATTAAAGGATAAAATCAATCACCAATAATGACAAATTGATTTTTAAGACATATCTTAATCAGTTTACTTTTTTCCACAAAGAAGTTTTTCTTTGACTGTTAACATTACAGTAGATGAGGACCTCTTGCACATTAATTGGACAGAGTTTCAAAAGCATTTAGTGCTCAACAGTTCCCATTAAAATAATCTGGCTAAATGGATTTGTCATCAGAGATCCCCTGTGAGGAAAAGAAGCTGCAGGAGTTTCCGCAATCCCTGAAAATTGGCCAGAATACTAGGTCAAACACAGCTTATTAACTCTTTTCTCCTCTTGGTAGGGATAACAAACGTTGTCTTCCCCCTCCAAAAAATGGAAAAATTATCCCCAGTTTACAAATGAAGAATGGGAATTATGTAACATGAAATCTAAGGAAAAGGTGAAACTAAAACAGGATTTCCTAAATCATAATTCCATACCTCAGTCATAAACTTTTATTTTATTTCATATTTTCTTATATTTCAAAACTCATCAGTCTGGCATCACACTGCATTCAAGTTTGAAAAGAAGTCTTTCCTTCTCCTAAGTCTCCAATGGTTTTGCACATGCATTTAGGTGTGCTGGTCCCACCTTATTAATTATTGCTACTAAGCTATAAAGTGCCCTTGGGAAAGGTAGAGTTGAAGGAGATGCATTTTGGCATGCAAGCGATGACGTCGTTTGCCGTCACTCTCACTTCCTCCACAGGAGAATTCAAGAACCTTCCTGATCCTGCAGAGAGAACCTTACTCCTTGGGAAAAGAGCTCTGCTTCTGATGAAGGCAGTAAAACTGACTGAAGTACAAAATTTCTATTCTATTGTAAATCTGCAAAATTCCGTGGAAAGACATGTTCTGTGTTGCAATAATACATGGAAAGGAAATTATAAAGGAAAGTATCATTATTAAAAAAACAAACCCTTCTTTTTTATAAAATTCATTGTAGAACTGAACTGACTCTCTCACTCTCAGCACAGCTGTAGCTCCTAGGACTACTGGGATCTCAGAAGGAAACAAAAGTTGGAATGTCTCATGGTTTGACAATGTTCAGCTGTTTAAATGCCCCCAAAAGGCTGTTACTAGCTAAGATTGGTTAGAATGACTTGGATGCTCTTCCAAACACATGGTAAGAACTACCACAGTGCTGGAAAGCACAATGGACTTTTTTCTCCCTACTTTCTTGGCAGTTGTCTCCTTCATACAGGATAGTTTACCCAGATGAAAGGTCTGAATGAGATACTGCAATTTCACTTAAGCTGGAATTGTTTCTTTTATTATGTGCTTCTAATTCTTATTTGATGAATGACACCAAAAAACCCTTTAAGAAATGAGGACTGCTTTGCTACCTGCTCTTCATCAATATTGTAAGCATGTATAACTGGAGTATCTACCTTAAGCTGCCCAGTTCTGCAGTTAGTATTCAGAACCCACTCAAACTAATGGAAAAAGCTCTTTTAACTTAAGTGGTCTTCTGACCAAGGACAAATTTTGCCAGCTGTACCAAATAGTTTGGCATCACACTGTCTTAGCGATAGTCTGGACTGCTTCTGAATGCAGGCAGCTGTTAATGCCAGTGAATTAGCTGATACCACCACAAGAGGAAATTCTGGACATGCTCTGAAGCAATCTGACTGACCATCCAGTCTGGCGTTGAAACTCGCAGCTCCCATTGCAAAGCTTGCTCCTTTTCCTACTGAAGTCAACAGCAACACTCTTACTGGCCGCGGTCCGTGCCCAACGAGCACAGCCGCTCGCTGCTGGGAGCAGTTGCTCTTCCTATGCTCCGGCATACACGTACAGCCAGTCTTAAGGCAACACAAGCTTTAGCGGGGAAAGCAAAGGCCGTGTTTCAGCATACCTGATTTTGACTTCAGGGCAATCTGAATTGAATGCCCGTCGTTGATCACTTCACAGTCACGACACACCACGTAGTTTGGCGACAAACGCACTTCCAGGAGCGAGGGGTCATATTTAGCTTCTCTCGAGTTCAAGTTAATAGGCGACTGGTACTCCCCGTTAGCATCAGGAAAAATCAGCCCCCACTCCACTCCTGAGGGACAAGGGAGAGCCGTTACGGGGAGACCCGGCTCCCTGCGCCGCACGGCGGCTCCCGGGCCGGCCAGACCCTCCCCGCCCTCACCGACCGCCTC